TAGCTTTAATTAAAGTTTTCTTTTATTTGTATTAATTTTTGATTTTTGTATAAATTTTTAATTTTTTATAGAAATTAAAACAGTTATTTTGTACAATTGTTTTCGGTTAAAATATTTGTTTAATTTTTATTTTCAGTTGGCGCAATTTGTTGATATCATTATTTTTGGAGGATATATTTGTACAATTTCTTTTTGGTTAAAATATTTTTATAAGTTTTTATTTCCAATAGTTTAAAATAACACTATTTCATAAATATATATAAATACAGTTTTTCACAAGTGGCGCGTGTATTTGGCGTTTCTTTTTTATCTTTTTTTAAAAAGGTAAGTTTTTAAGGATATCATTCTTTTTTGTAGTATATGTTAACATCTTTAAATAAATGCAAATATACGATGGTATTATTAACAATAATAAATTTGTAGCAAATCTGTACAAAACCAAATAGGTTTCGTAAATATTCTTTAGGTTTTTTCCACTATCCAAATAATAAATTTTTTTCGGTAATGATCTCAATAAATCATTTAATTTGGCAGCATTCGATGTGAAAAAAAAGAGTAAATGATTATTTAACATGCATAAAATGTACATTTTTTTGATAGTACATATTTCTTATTGTGAGCCTTATATATATATATACAATATGTTAGCGAGAGAGGTGGACGCGAGAGTGAGGAGTACCGCTAAATGTAATCTCGATGAGTAAGAAGGACGCGGAACGGTAAGAAAGACGAGCGACTTGACAATACGTAATTTAATAAAATAACTTTGTACACCTTTTATAGATTAATGATAAATGCTATCTAATATTTCCGCAAGCAACGGAGGGATAATCTCGAACGTGGAGACCGCACTGTCGAACGATAAGACCGCACAGAGAATCGGTGGATCGCGAACCGCGAAAGCGCACTGGATTAACTGTCGCGACGGAACTTAGTCGAATAAAGCAGCGTGAGAAAATCTACTTGTACGCGTCGATTACTTTTTGTCGAGAGCCGGCCGCGCCTTGTGCGCGCCTCTTTTATAATCTTGAATCCTTCTAAAAGGATCCAGAATGTATGACTCATTGTCTTTTGTCTTGAGGGAGCGACAATTATGATTAGAAAAATTCGCGGTAGTTTTTTGATTGACGGGGGGTGGCAGCCTCTGATTGGGCGCCACTGATGTCAGTTTAAAGCGCAGTGATAGGCTTGGAGTGGCGAAAGGCTAGCGGCTCGCAATAAGCTAAAGCAAGAGCGACTGTATCGAGAGCGATCATCTCTCTCATCCCGAATTTTTAGAAATTATCGATCGGACGCGCTATATCTCCTATCGCTTTAAACTCGATCTCGTTCAAGGCGCCTCGTCTTCCATTGCCTTTAATTTGATTTCGAACATCCCGCCCGCCTCGTCAGTAGCGAAATTTCTCTTAATTCGTACATAAGGAATCCCGGGAGTGAATGTTATTATTGCGCGATGTCAAGAGAAGACGAGAGACCTCAGTGCAGTGCAATATGATCGAGACGTGAACCATGGGGTAAGCAGAAATACTACCCGAGAAGAGCGAGGCGAAGAGAACGGTATGTAGTACAGAGGTGAGTTTTTGAGCTCGCGGCCGCGCGCCCTTATCTACTGTGATCGCATGGCGCGATGTTAACAACAAGCCCGTCCGTTGCTTAATCGAACTGCTGGCGACGGGTCGCCGTCGCGCTTGCCTATTATTAACACATAACAATATGAGTATACAGATAGAGAATAAAAAATTAATATAATTATATGCATGTTGTAAATTCTAAGTTAGAAAAACGTGAACCGCTTAAGCGATCAAATTTGAGCCTCCTTGCTCGCCTCGCTATCGGCGACCGGCAAAAGAATAAGCTTTACTATAGGCCGGGTTAATTCTGTGGTAGCCGTACGGAGGGTCACAACACGGATTTGACCGTCTTCTCCGGGATGGATCCGAATGATGCGTGCCAAAGGCCATTTCGTAGGTGGCAGGTTTTCGTTTCGGATAATCGGCCGACTGTGAAGCCCGATTCCTTGCTCCACCATTTAGGGCGATGTACTAGCGAGTGGAGGTATTCCTGGGACCATCTTTTCTAGAAATGCTCCCGCATCTTTTGAAGGAGCCGCCAACGGGCCAGCTGGTTCATTGGCTTGTCCAGCATGGAAGGTTCAGGTATGGCGGTCAGAGCGGATCCCACGAGGAAGTGGTCTGGCGTGAGAGCGGAGAGGTCTTCCGGATCATCTGAAAGAGCCTGAAGAGGTCGTGAATTAAGGCACGCTTCTACCTAAGCGAGGAGAGTGCTCATCTCCTCGTAGGTCAGAGATGCATCTCCCAACACCCGCCTCAAATGATGCTTGAGAGACTTGACGGCAGCCTCCCATATTCCGCCGAAATGAGGCGCCGAAGGTGGGTTGAATCGCCATGTAATTCTATCGGCGGCGAGCTGCCTGATGATCGCCCGTTGTTCTGGACTGCTGGCAGCGAAGAAGGCCCGTAGCTGTGTGTCTGCTCCCACGAAAGTCGTCCCGCAGTCACTGTGGATGGTCTGGCACGATCCGCGACAAGAAGTGAAACGACGCAATGCCGCTAGGAAAGCCTCGCCCGTATAGTCCGATACAACTTCCAGATGCACGGCCCTTGTAGAAAGGCAGACGAATACGGAGATGAAAGCCTTGTGCGCTCGATGGCCTCGTCCTTTCGTTGTCCGCAGCAAAATAGATCCGGCGTAGTCGACGCCGGTATGTAAGAATGGTCTAGCTGGCGTTACCCGTTCGCGGGGCAGACTACCCATTAGCTGCTGTGGCGTCGCCGCCCGCCAACGCACACAAGTCACGCAGCAAAGAATTTGTTGTTTTACGATGGCTCGGCCTCTAGGGATCCAATAACGTTGTCGGATCATCCCCAGGGTCATCTGTACTCCGCCGTGCAGCGCCCGACGGTGGCATGCTTCGACTATTAGTCGAGTGAACGTCGACTCGCTAGGCAGGATGATGGGGTGGCGCTCATCGTAATCCAGGATGGGAGAGGCTCACTTGCGCACAGTACAATTGGACACGTTGCAATTGCACACTGTGATATTAGACACATAAAGTTGCGCACCGTTCGATTGGACACATTTCAATTGCGCACAATTCGTTTGGATACATTTTATTTGCGCACCGTTCAATTGGACACGTTGTTTTTGGACACAACACATATTTTTGTATAATTTGGAATACATACACACGCATATATATATGTATAATTTTGAAATTTTTTGACATTTATTATTAACTTTATTGGGTAAATAAACGTTTGTTACAGTTCTTTCGCGCACAGTTCTTTCGCGCACATTTCTTTCGCGCACATTTCTTTCGCGCACATTTCTTTCGCGCACATTTCTTTCGCGCACATTTCTTTCGCGCACATTTCTTTCGCGCACATTTCTTTCGCGCACATTTCTTTCGCGCACATTTCTTTCGCGCACATTTCTTTCGCGCACATTTCTTTCGCGCACATTTCTTTCGCGCACATTTCTTTCGCGCACATTTCTTTCGCGCACATTTCTTTCGCGCACATTTCTTTCGCGCACATTTCTTTCGCGCACATTTCTTTCGCGCACATTTCTTTCGCGCACATTTCTTTCGCGCACATTTCTTTCGCGCACATTTCTTTCGCGCACATTTCTTTCGCGCACATTTCTTTCGCGCACATTTCTTTCGCGCACATTTCTTTCGCGCACATTTCTTTCGCGCACATTTCTTTCGCGCACATTTCTTTCGCGCACATTTCTTTCGCGCACATTTCTTTCGCGCACATTTCTTTCGCGCACATTTCTTTCGCGCACATTTCTTTCGCGCACATTTCTTTCGCGCACATTTCTTTCGCGCACATTTCTTTCGCGCACATTTCTTTCGCGCACATTTCTTTCGCGCACATTTCTTTCGCGCACATTTCTTTCGCGCACATTTCTTTCGCGCACATTTCTTTCGCGCACATTTCTTTCGCGCACATTTCTTTCGCGCACATTTCTTTCGCGCACATTTCTTTCGCGCACATTTCTTTCGCGCACATTTCTTTCGCGCACATTTCTTTCGCGCACATTTCTTTCGCGCACATTTCTTTCGCGCACATTTCTTTCGCGCACATTTCTTTCGCGCACATTTCTTTCGCGCACATTTCTTTCGCGCACATTTCTTTCGCGCACATTTCTTTCGCGCACATTTCTTTCGCGCACATTTCTTTCGCGCACATTTCTTTCGCGCACATTTCTTTCGCGCACATTTCTTTCGCGCACATTTCTTTCGCGCACATTTCTTTCGCGCACATTTCTTTCGCGCACATTTCTTTCGCGCACATTTCTTTCGCGCACATTTCTTTCGCGCACATTTCTTTCGCGCACATTTCTTTCGCGCACATTTCTTTCGCGCACATTTCTTTCGCGCACATTTCTTTCGCGCACATTTCTTTCGCGCACATTTCTTTCGCGCACATTTCTTTCGCGCACATTTCTTTCGCGCACATTTCTTTCGCGCACATTTCTTTCGCGCACATTTCTTTCGCGCACATTTCTTTCGCGCACATTTCTTTCGCGCACATTTCTTTCGCGCACATTTCTTTCGCGCACATTTCTTTCGCGCACATTTCTTTCGCGCACATTTCTTTCGCGCACATTTCTTTCGCGCACATTTCTTTCGCGCACATTTCTTTCGCGCACATTTCTTTCGCGCACATTTCTTTCGCGCACATTTCTTTCGCGCACATTTCTTTCGCGCACATTTCTTTCGCGCACATTTCTTTCGCGCACATTTCTTTCGCGCACATTTCTTTCGCGCACATTTCTTTCGCGCACATTTCTTTCGCGCACATTTCTTTCGCGCACATTTCTTTCGCGCACATTTCTTTCGCGCACATTTCTTTCGCGCACATTTCTTTCGCGCACATTTCTTTCGCGCACATTTCTTTCGCGCACATTTCTTTCGCGCACATTTCTTTCGCGCACATTTCTTTCGCGCACATTTCTTTCGCGCACATTTCTTTCGCGCACATTTCTTTCGCGCACATTTCTTTCGCGCACATTTCTTTCGCGCACATTTCTTTCGCGCACATTTCTTTCGCGCACATTTCTTTCGCGCACATTTCTTTCGCGCACATTTCTTTCGCGCACATTTCTTTCGCGCACATTTCTTTCGCGCACATTTCTTTCGCGCACATTTCTTTCGCGCACATTTCTTTCGCGCACATTTCTTTCGCGCACATTTCTTTCGCGCACATTTCTTTCGCGCACATTTCTTTCGCGCACATTTCTTTCGCGCACATTTCTTTCGCGCACATTTCTTTCGCGCACATTTCTTTCGCGCACATTTCTTTCGCGCACATTTCTTTCGCGCACATTTCTTTCGCGCACATTTCTTTCGCGCACATTTCTTTCGCGCACATTTCTTTCGCGCACATTTCTTTCGCGCACATTTCTTTCGCGCACATTTCTTTCGCGCACATTTCTTTCGCGCACATTTCTTTCGCGCACATTTCTTTCGCGCACATTTCTTTCGCGCACATTTCTTTCGCGCACATTTCTTTCGCGCACATTTCTTTCGCGCACATTTCTTTCGCGCACATTTCTTTCGCGCACATTTCTTTCGCGCACATTTCTTTCGCGCACATTTCTTTCGCGCACATTTCTTTCGCGCACATTTCTTTCGCGCACATTTCTTTCGCGCACATTTCTTTCGCGCACATTTCTTTCGCGCACATTTCTTTCGCGCACATTTCTTTCGCGCACATTTCTTTCGCGCACATTTCTTTCGCGCACATTTCTTTCGCGCACATTTCTTTCGCGCACATTTCTTTCGCGCACATTTCTTTCGCGCACATTTCTTTCGCGCACATTTCTTTCGCGCACATTTCTTTCGCGCACATTTCTTTCGCGCACATTTCTTTCGCGCACATTTCTTTCGCGCACATTTCTTTCGCGCACATTTCTTTCGCGCACATTTCTTTCGCGCACATTTCTTTCGCGCACATTTCTTTCGCGCACATTTCTTTCGCGCACATTTCTTTCGCGCACATTTCTTTCGCGCACATTTCTTTCGCGCACATTTCTTTCGCGCACATTTCTTTCGCGCACATTTCTTTCGCGCACATTTCTTTCGCGCACATTTCTTTCGCGCACATTTCTTTCGCGCACATTTCTTTCGCGCACATTTCTTTCGCGCACATTTCTTTCGCGCACATTTCTTTCGCGCACATTTCTTTCGCGCACATTTCTTTCGCGCACATTTCTTTCGCGCACATTTCTTTCGCGCACATTTCTTTCGCGCACATTTCTTTCGCGCACATTTCTTTCGCGCACATTTCTTTCGCGCACATTTCTTTCGCGCACATTTCTTTCGCGCACATTTCTTTCGCGCACATTTCTTTCGCGCACATTTCTTTCGCGCACATTTCTTTCGCGCACATTTCTTTCGCGCACATTTCTTTCGCGCACATTTCTTTCGCGCACATTTCTTTCGCGCACATTTCTTTCGCGCACATTTCTTTCGCGCACATTTCTTTCGCGCACATTTCTTTCGCGCACATTTCTTTCGCGCACATTTCTTTCGCGCACATTTCTTTCGCGCACATTTCTTTCGCGCACATTTCTTTCGCGCACATTTCTTTCGCGCACATTTCTTTCGCGCACATTTCTTTCGCGCACATTTCTTTCGCGCACATTTCTTTCGCGCACATTTCTTTCGCGCACATTTCTTTCGCGCACATTTCTTTCGCGCACATTTCTTTCGCGCACATTTCTTTCGCGCACATTTCTTTCGCGCACATTTCTTTCGCGCACATTTCTTTCGCGCACATTTCTTTCGCGCACATTTCTTTCGCGCACATTTCTTTCGCGCACATTTCTTTCGCGCACATTTCTTTCGCGCACATTTCTTTCGCGCACATTTCTTTCGCGCACATTTCTTTCGCGCACATTTCTTTCGCGCACATTTCTTTCGCGCACATTTCTTTCGCGCACATTTCTTTCGCGCACATTTCTTTCGCGCACATTTCTTTCGCGCACATTTCTTTCGCGCACATTTCTTTCGCGCACATTTCTTTCGCGCACATTTCTTTCGCGCACATTTCTTTCGCGCACATTTCTTTCGCGCACATTTCTTTCGCGCACATTTCTTTCGCGCACATTTCTTTCGCGCACATTTCTTTCGCGCACATTTCTTTCGCGCACATTTCTTTCGCGCACATTTCTTTCGCGCACATTTCTTTCGCGCACATTTCTTTCGCGCACATTTCTTTCGCGCACATTTCTTTCGCGCACATTTCTTTCGCGCACATTTCTTTCGCGCACATTTCTTTCGCGCACATTTCTTTCGCGCACATTTCTTTCGCGCACATTTCTTTCGCGCACATTTCTTTCGCGCACATTTCTTTCGCGCACATTTCTTTCGCGCACATTTCTTTCGCGCACATTTCTTTCGCGCACATTTCTTTCGCGCACATTTCTTTCGCGCACATTTCTTTCGCGCACATTTCTTTCGCGCACATTTCTTTCGCGCACATTTCTTTCGCGCACATTTCTTTCGCGCACATTTCTTTCGCGCACATTTCTTTCGCGCACATTTCTTTCGCGCACATTTCTTTCGCGCACATTTCTTTCGCGCACATTTCTTTCGCGCACATTTCTTTCGCGCACATTTCTTTCGCGCACATTTCTTTCGCGCACATTTCTTTCGCGCACATTTCTTTCGCGCACATTTCTTTCGCGCACATTTCTTTCGCGCACATTTCTTTCGCGCACATTTCTTTCGCGCACATTTCTTTCGCGCACATTTCTTTCGCGCACATTTCTTTCGCGCACATTTCTTTCGCGCACATTTCTTTCGCGCACATTTCTTTCGCGCACATTTCTTTCGCGCACATTTCTTTCGCGCACATTTC